CCACATACGCTAATTTGACACGACACCCATGGATCCTTGACAAGTCAACAACTATTGCCCTGTAAATTTGCCCGTGCACAGGAGAAAGACAGCAGAAAAGCACACAAAGTTCCCGCGAAACTATTTAGACGCCAGCCAATCAAGCCCGACATCTGAACCTCCGCACTCTATTTCGTTCTGGATCTAAAGAATGTGGCGCTTTACCGTTTTAGGGGCTAAATTACCATCTTCGGGGCTTAGGCTAGTGACGGTGCGCTAGTAATTTTCGTCCGGTGCCCTCGGAACAAGGCGAGAGAGCGAGAAAAAACACAGAGGAAGAAAACCGAATGCGCTGTTGGGTGGATGGGTGTAAGAGGCATTTGCCAAGGTATGGAAGGAATGAAGGAGGATCAAAACTGCGGCTTGGATTGAGTATTGGGGGGCTGTTAAAATAACTCTGTGGCTTAGCAGATGGATGGATCATAGATGTGAGTTGCTCAAGCTCAGCTGAAGCTTTCTCCAACTGAACTGTCACAAGGGGTGGCTCCTGGCGTTTAGGGGACTTTGGCCGCCAAGACGGGCTGCCACCCGTGCTGACTTGGACCTTGGCGGGCTTTGTTCCCTCTCCCCCCTAGTCGCCGTTGGTTGTAAATATTTCTCTCTTTCTTTGTGCTTTCTTTGTTGCTGTGCCGCTGCTGTCTCTTTGTTCCGTTCTGCTCTTTTTGTTCTTTGTTCTGGTTACTGTTTCTTTTCGAAGCTATCTCGATTCACTCTCGGCCGTCTCGGGACGCACCGAATTTTGGAAACATTTTGCATCTCAAGGCCGTTGTATAAAAAGCCATGTGCTCACCGTAACCTACCGATGGCCTCCATATTCAACCAGATCCAGGGCCGAGTCCCTCGCCGCTATGTTGCGCTTGTGGCCTTCTTCTTCTTTGTCGCCCTCTTCCTCTGGAGCGGCTTTGATGTCGTGCCCCGATCTCCCACCGTCGGCAGATTCAAGTATGTGCCCAGCAGCTACAATTGGGCCAAGGCCAAGGTCTATCATCCCGTCAAGGACATGAAGATGTTACCGCAGGGAACACCCGTTACCTTTCCCAAGGTGCAGCTGAAGAACCATTCAGAGAACCAAGACGCCACCTCCAGCACTCGGAAACAGGCTGTCAAGAATGCCTTCATCAAGAGCTGGGAGGCGTACAAGTCCCATGCGTGGGGCAAGGACCAACTGCAACCCCTCTCAGGCGGTGGAAAAGATACCTTCAGCGGTTGGATGGCACAGGTGGTGGATGCGTTGGATACCCTGTGGATCATGGACCTCAAGGAAGACTTCTATCTGGCCGTTAAAGAAGTGGCAGTGATCGACTGGGCCACGACCCACGACAACAACGTTATCAACCTGTTCGAGGTGACTATTCGATATCTTGGCGGGTTGCTTGCGGCATACGACCTCTCCCAGGAGCCCGTCTTGCGTGCAAAGGCAATTGAGCTTGGTGATGCACTCTATGCCACCTTTGATACCCCGAACCGTCTGCCATCACACTGGCTTGACTACAGCAAGGCCAAGAAGGGCGAACAGACAGCCGATGACAGCATGTCGGGGGCTGCCGGTGGCACTCTCTGCATGGAATTTACCCGCCTCTCACAGATCACGGGCGATCCCAAGTATTACGACGCCACGGAGCGCATCAAGCAGTTCTACTATCGCTTCCAGAACGAGACCTCCCTTCCGGGCCTTTGGCCAGTGACCATGAACTTTCGCGATGAGCAGCTGATTGAGACTCGATACACCATCGGAGCTGGCGCCGATTCCATGTACGAATATTTGGTCAAGATGCCCGTTCTTCTGGGGGGACTGGACCCCCAATATCCCGAAATGGCCATCAAGGCTCTCGATACCGCTAGGGACTACCTGCTATATCGTCCCATGACTCCAAAGGACGAGAATATTCTCATGGCTGGAAATGCACTAGTAGACCACGGCAATGTCGAGCGAATTTATGAGATGCAGCACCTGACTTGCTTTGCAGGCGGCATGTATGCAATGGCTGGCAAGCTCTTCAAGCGAGACGACTATGTCGATTTGGGCTCCCGCCTCTCGTCCGGCTGTGTATGGGCGTATGACTCCTTCGCCTCTGGCATCATGCCCGAGGCAGCAGACCTGGTAGGCTGCAAGAAACTCGATGGGCCCTGCCCATACGACGAAACTTTTTTGCCCCTGAGTAATGACCCAAGACTACCCCCGGGCTTTGTGAACGTCAAGGCTAAACACTATCTCTTACGGCCCGAAGCCATTGAGAGTGTGTTTTACATGTACCGCATTACCGGGGATCAGGTTTGGAGGGATACGGCGTGGAGGTTGTGGGAGAATATTGTCAGAGAGACGGAGGTGGACCTGGCGTTTGCCATTGTTGAAGACGTTACCGTGAGCAAGGGCACCAACGGCGACGTGATGGAGGTGAGTTTCCCAACCAAATCACAAAGAGAAAATATGATGTGACCAATGGGCAACTGCTAACTTCCAGTATAGACGTTTTGGCTGGCTGAAACGCTCAAGTACTTTTACTTGATTTTCGATGATGAAGGCGCGATCGACTTGGACGAGTGGGTGTTTAACACGGAGGCGCATCCGTTCAAGCGGCCGGTGGTGTGAGGATGGTGTGAAGACGGCGTTCAAAGGAAATGTCTGATGTGATGGTTATATATACATGCATATGATGGGGAAACGATCTGAGATGAGGATATAGATAGGGGTAAAAGTGTGAGCGAGATGTATTATAAGATCGGCGCAGGGATGCACGTGAGTACCTGGCCAAAAAGATGTCCATCCCAACGGAGCATAGTGAGGTTTTCTGGACATTTCTGGACATTTACAAGGCATGTCTTCAAAGCGAGTTGTTTCGAATTTCAGTTGGTATACAAGGCTATTCACTATTCATGTCATTATAGCTCTATCGAATACTAATGTAATATTCTGTGATACTCTTTCCTTATTGCTGTGCTCCTGATAGCCCACTGTCACCATCTACCCCGCTACGGCCACTGGCCCCCCAGCATTGCATATGCAGATCCGCCAAAGGCTATTGGATTGATCGATTACATCACCTCGCGCTATCAATTCAACCAACTCTATCCCTACAGTAGTCTGCAGTACTAGGATTCACTTACACCTCGCCTTTCTCTCTTCTCAACTCCCTCTTCTCTCCAACGTGATGAGGATACGCAAGGCATGCCACTCCTCCCGCGCACTCTCGCCACCGTCTCTTGTCTTTTTGCGCAACCAATATCACGACGTTGCGTGACCAGTGAATCTGCTATCAAGGCACACGGGCAATACTGGCTTGGTGCGGCTCCGGCCTCGAATTGGACTCCCAACTCGACATCGGCTGGAGGCCGATTGAGGCGCTGTTGTGATGGTTGCAAGAGAGGATTTCATGCGTCGAGGGAGCTTGCGAGGGGCAGCTTTGAGGGGATGAATCATTATGAACGGCTGAAGGTATCACCCGATGCCTCTCCGGCCGAGATCAAAAAGTATGGATAGCGATTCGATTCCAGTATTTCAAGACTCTGATGGCTAATGCTTTGCCTATAGATCCTTCTATGCGCTCTCCAAAGCCCACCACCCCGATGCAAATCGCTCCGACCCCGACGCCGCCCACAACTTTTCTCTCCTCTCCGAGTCTTACACCGTTCTATCCAATGCCTCTCGCCGCGCCACCTACGACCGCGAGGTGTTGCACCTCCACGAACATCACCACCATCCTCACCACCACCACGCCTCATATCACAGTACCAATCCCGCCGGCGGCCGTCCCCCTTCCGGCCTGAGCCGCCGCAGAGGAACCTTTCGCGGGCCCCCGCCAAGCTTCTATCGCAGCGGCGGATATGGCGCCCAAGCGGAGAAGCGCCACCAGGCACACGAAGAGTCGACCGGCGGCGCAGCAGCTTCAGGAGCTCAGACGGACCGCGCCAACCCTTGGAATACCAGCGCCTTTCACCATGCGCATCATTATGCTGGTATGGGCCCGGGGTCTGACCCTCACCATTTCCGGGACCAGCACGTGCCGCATTTCGACAAGGCGGGCCATACGCGGACGCATGAGCGGGAGGATCACCGACGGTGGCAGCGGCAGAGAAGGGCTGTGGGGGATGATGGGATAGAGTTTGAGCCGCAGACGAGCTTGGCAGGGCACTTTTTGATTGTGGCGGGGATATTGGCGGCGACGTTTCTTGCGCCGGCGGTGTATCTGCAGTTTATGCGCCTGGGGAGGCAGAAGAAGGAGAAGGAGTCGTGAGGCGGATGTGGGAGCGTGTGTAGATGGCGCCTGGAGTGGGATAGGGAAGACTGTACAAAGAATAGAGCGAATTTACATAGATAGCGGCAATGAGGGTATGGGCGAGCAATGCCCATTATAATGTCATGACACCTGATTCTCAGCAATATGATTAATTTGGAATGTCTTTGCTCATAGTCAAGAGAATAAGATATAATGTCATAATGAAGAGTTGTTGTTTAGTTGTATTACTCATAAAGCCATTGCGCATTAGCATTACACAGACAATTGTGGTACAGAGAGCGAGCGTACGCTAATATACACATATTTTTGCGACATTTTGCTTTTCAACACCAAAAGAAGAGAGCAACAAGGAAAAATAGACATCACAAACATAAACATAAACAGAACATCGACCGGCAGGCAGACAGACAAGACAGACAGCAACCGCGTATGTTCACTTGCGCAAAATATTCTTTATTCTTTTTTTGTTGTTCAATACCCGGTTGCTCGAAAAGAGAAAAAAGGCATCTATCTACCACCCGAGATCAAAAATCGTAAAGAAGCAAGCCCCCCTTTTTCGTTTTAATTTTTTTCAAAAACTTCAAAGGAGGGGCGCTTCTGAATGGAGACAAAGTTGCGCAAAATAGCAACCAAGCCAACCTCGCCCATTAACATCTCACGCGCACATTGCATGCATGTGAGATATCAAATGACGATAGGAGAGTGCTAGGGGGGGTTTTCCGAGGCTTAACCCTCGAAGGTGAAGCTGGCACCGAGCTTGTGGGTAGCCTGGTCGAGCTTCTGGGTATCGAAAGAGCCACCGAGACCCAGGGTGACACCCTCACGGAGGAGGACGTTGTAGGCAAGGGCGGCAATACCACGGTCGTTGATCTTGACCTGTTCATTTCGAAAACAAAAAATGGTAAGCAAAGTTGTACAGAGAATGAATGTCATTAGGGTGTGGATAGAGAGGATACGAACCTTGGCGAAGGAGACGGGGTCAATGCGGTACTTGCTGGCGACCTCGAGGCCGACAGTGTTGCTGGTCTTGGAGTTCCAGGTGGCCTTGGCACCGGCCTCGACCTGGCTGTTGACCTTGTGGTAGTAGGAAGCGGCGAAGACGCTCAGGTTGTCGGTGGCGGTGATGGCGGCGCTGTACTGGGGGGCGATGTAGCCGACGGCGGCGCTGTAGCCGGTCAGGGCAGCCTTGTTGACATCATAGCCGGCGCTGGCACCGGCCAGGAAGCCCTCGTGGCCGACGACGGCGTCGACGTTGGCGGTGGGGCCCTTGAGGAGGTCGAAGAAGGCGCGGCCGTGGAAGCCGGGCTGCTTGAAGAGCAGGTTGAACTTGGCGCCCTTGGCGGCGGTGGCGGGCAGGAAGTTGAAGAGACCCTCGAGCTTGAGGCCCTTGGCGAGGGAGTCGCTGACCTCAATCTTCGTGTCGAGGGCGTTGGCGGTGTTCCAGGTCTGGGTCAGGGTCAGGCCTGTGGACGCCGAGGAGCGTTAGTAAAAAGTCAATGGCCCTAAATTGCGACCCAAGCAACGAGGCTCGAAAAGCGCGCTCTCCAGGGGGGATGTGGAGGAGAGAGCCTTGCGTGTCTCAAGTCTTGGGACAGGTGGGATGTCGTACCGGTAGGCTTGTCGGTGTATTTTCCCTCAATCTGTTACATTGGCAATGGCCGTGTCAGTCTTGCTGTTGTTTTCTAGGCCCTCGCGAGTGGCGGGGGAGGGGAAGCGTCAAGGAGAAGACGGCAGAAAGACTGGGCAGGGTGGAGCAAAACTCACAGCAGCAGAGGTGGCCTTCTCGTGGCTGGACTTGCCGGTCACCTTGAAGGCAACGCCATTGGGAGCAGTGTCCTTGAACTCGAAGGTGGTGGCGGACAGGTGGTAGAAGTCCTTGTTAAGGAGCTATATGGCGCAAAAAAAGCAAGGTCAGCCGCGTTCGTTACTGAGGTATCCTCTCGAGCTCCTAGCCGAGGGGCAAACAAGAGCCGAGCAGGAAACCAGAAAAAAAAAACCAGCTGGAAAGGAGCGCATACGTCGTTGGCCGGCTTGGCAATGTCGGAGAAGGCGGGGATAGACATTTTGGCGGTTTTGGGAGAAAGGAATTCAAGATGGGCTGCAGACGAAGGCAAAGGGGAGGATGATTGCGGTGTGCTAACAGGAAATAGGATCAGACCAAAAAGAGAAGAGGTTCTAGTCTGGAGGTTTGAGGCGAGGGAAAATGTTCTGGGCACAGGCGAGGCCGCTGATTGGCCGGCCGGTTGGTTGGGGAAAGACGAGGGAGAGCGTCGGCTGATGTCGGGCCGGGCATATGGCGGATGGCCAGGGTCTAAACTCAATTGGGGCGTGTGCTGTGACCACGTGGGGGAGCTGTGATGGTTTTTATGGCTTTGAGGATTGTTTGCATGATATTGTGATACCTTGGTATGTTTCAATTTCATGCGTCAACTGCGCCGTCTGTTCAAGTACTGGACTATCGCTTCATGCTGTGCTGGCGAGAACATCATGGACGTCAATGCATGTTGTGTGTGAACAACGCGGGGCAAAGCTGCTATGCCTAATAGACGACCTCACTAACACAATAGCCCCTTGTCCCCTATCCTTGTTCCTGGATTTAGCATAGAGTCCAATACTTCCCTGGTCCTGGCCATGTCGACAAAGTAAAGCCGCTCATCACCGCATCGGCTGTAAAATAACGTCAGGCCAACTTCTTCAGTGGTAAACATGCACGCAATAGACGCTCTTAAATTCAACCAATGGCGCAATAGCGCTCCAAGTGTATTTCATCTCGAATGCCGAGCCATGTCCGGACCTCGGATATATACAAACAACTACAAAGGACGGCACTATTCTAGACTCTTGGCTATTTTGTGATGTTAAACTTTTCTGCCTGTATACCATATACCACCTGGTAGTAGTATATTCTTCCACTTCCTGGGATGCATCTTCACTAGCACCTGCGAAAATATTTGACAATATTCCACATGCATACTTTACTCGGCGTTGTCGTACTTGGCGTTGTGAGTCGCGATAGCTCTGTACATCATATTAGCAAAATCCATTCACATCCAACGATGCTAAGCAACAAAAACAAAGTACGAACCTGCCGCTAGGATCCGTCTGCTTGGACCAAGTAGGCGTCCATCGCTCCACGGTGGAAGCGCAGCGAGGAGGGAAATGCTCGTCAAACATGAGTCGGTACCAGTAACTAGGATAATGAGTTAGCCTTGTGTCATTAAACGCCACCGTGAATTATACGTACGCCTCCTTGGTATCCGGAATATCGATACCCCACTCAGCCTTAGGGTTCTTCATCATCTCGTCGGTGACGTGGAGCTCGGCGTTGTCCTTGAGCGCATCGATCCATCCGTATCCGACACCGTCAGAAAACTGCTCCTTCTGTCTCCACAGGATAGAGTCGGGCAGATAGGCGGGAGTACCGGGCTCATCGGTCGTGTCAAAGGCTTTTCGGAGAATGTACTTCTCCATTCTGTCCTTAGTGATCATCTTCTCCTGAGGGTCAATGCTCATCGCAGTCTCAATGAACTAGGAAGATGTGTTAGTGTAAAGTAGAGGGGCATTCCAGATGTAAATTTTCAACATACCTTCTTGTCCAGGAAAGGCACACGAGCCTCGAGACCCCATGCCGAGGTGGACTTGTTGGCTCGCAGACAATCCGCAAGGTGCAGGTTCTTAATACGGCGGACCGTCTCCTCGTGGAACGCCTTCTTATCAGGAGCAGCATGGAAGTAAAGGTAGCCACCGAAAATCTCATCGCTACCCTCGCCACTCAAGACCATCTTGATGCCCATGGCCTTGATCTTGCGCGAGAGCAAAAACATGGGTGTGGAGGCTCGGATTGTTGTGACGTCGTAAGTCTCCAGGTGGTAGATGACATCTGACAGCGCGTTGAGACCATCCTCAATTGTAAATGTCATGACGTGGTGCTTGGTGCCGAGGAACTTGGCGACCTTGAGAGCGGCCTCGTTGTCGGGAGATCCGGGGAGACCAATAGAGAAGGAGTTGAGCTGCGGCAGGTAGGTGACAGTGGATAGGTTGTCGTCGTCGTCAACACCGACAAGGCCTTCTCCGTGGTCAAGGTCAGCCTCCGCAGGAGTCTCGGTGCCGCTAGACTTTTCGGCCTTCTCCCTGAGTCTCAGCATCTCTCGCTGGGCAATAGACGCAACCAGACTAGAGTCGAGACCGCCAGAGAGAAGCACACCATAAGGGACTTCAGCCATCAAACGCTTTCTAACAGCGGTCTCGAGTGAAGTTCGGATGGCCTTGTAGTCGATCGGGGCAGAGGGCACGTTGGTGGGATCCCACCAAGTAGGCTTGAAGTAACGGGTCGTCTCGCCGGTTTTTGAGTCGTAGACGTGGCCGGGAGGGAAGGCCACGATCTTGTCGCAGACGGGGTGCAGGCACTTGAGCTCCGAGGCAAAGTACACAGCTCCAGGCTCCTTCCATGACCATCCCTGGTACAATGTTGTGATGCCGATGGGGTCGCGGGCGGCAATGGTGCGGTCCTGCTTCTTGTCATATAGAACAAAGGAGAACATGCCATCTAGGTAGTTGGGGGCGTCGATATCGTGCTCCAAATACTATGGTAGAGCAGCAATGTCAGTCTTCGACTCTCCATCTTGTTCGTAATCCCCCCTTTGGGCTCCGAAAACTTACCAGAGGAATGATGACCTCGCAGTCAGATGTTGTCTTGAAGTGATAGGGCTCCTTCAAGTGCTTTCGGACCTGACGGTGGTTGTAAATCTCGCCGTTGGCGGCAAGAATGAGTGTGTCATCGGCATTGGTCAGGGGCTGGGCGCCAGACTCTATCTCGTGTGTGAGCGAGCGCTTGATTCTGCAAAATGTACCGTTGAGGATCGAGACTTACCAACACCGACGATACTAAGACGCTCATGGCAGAGGACTACGCAAATATGTCAGCCCAAGACTCCAATTGATGTACTCAAAGCCAATCGACTTACTTGTGTTGTGAGAGATGACGCTGCCGCCTGTAAACAAACCACACAGTCAGCTCAACAGCTCTTCGTTTCGCTATACAGCACTCATCGTATCAATTGGCTCAAGACGTACTCCAATCGGGGCCACGGTGTCGGATCCTAAGATATACTTGTCAATTGAAGCTGTTATCGGCAGGAATTATAGCTACTTACGCCTTAGACAGCTTCAGCGCTGTAGGCTTGAACTTTTGAACGTCAGGATGACTGTTTGAAGCAAATGTGTCAGTTCTGCCATTGTTCGCGATGAGCCGAAAGATGGCGGGGTGATCGGATTGAAGATGCCCCTCCAAAAAAAAAATTAAGAGGTACAAAGTGCCGTTGTCCACTGCACGCGATCGACGGGCGGCAGAGGACCAGGGGACCAGGTTGCGACGTACCAATGGCAAGCGAAAATGCCACACATGTTTGCGGTTCTGCGACGGAAGTTTCCTCACTCGAATAGGTACGATGGAAAGGAACAAGAAAATGCAGAATTCTCTAGAGAGAGCAGTAGATTGTTGTAAGAAGAGGAATCTGGGTCCGGACGTGGAATTTAGAGTAACGAAACAGTGGCCATGACTCTTGTTGCGGCCATCTTTAAAAATTTAAGACGCAGCCCAGCCAGGCTAAAGCTGCTAGCTTTGGGCGGCCGACTTCGGCTCGCTCAGAGTCACTCGCAGTTTATTCTGTTCCATCTCATTGGCGGCAAGCCATCCAATGTTGCCAATTACCTAAAGTGAACAAACGCAGGCTACTGATAAGGGCAATTCCAATGCCTGGCTGGTGTCAAGTTGTTAAACGACCTACCTAGAAGAGAGCATATGCTGACGGCTTATCGCGTCCAATACCCTGCAAAGCCACGAAGCGAGAGGATAGGTTCTCCTTTACAACTACAGCTGTCTATGCTTTTTGGGTAACGTGGCATTCATATGACAGCTATGCAGCTCAGCTTAGATCAGAATGGAAGAAATGCACGTGGCGGACTGGGGTCGGGCATTGCTGATTGTCGCTTGTGTGCCCTTGATGATGTCAAACAAAGGGCGGCTTTACACTTTACCGTGGTTCACTCTACTATGGAGATGCTTCCCCATACATAGTCCGTCCTAGTCTTGATAGCGCTGTAAATTCTTCTCTCGTGCTGCTAATTTAATTAAACGTGCTAGTATCTACCAAGAACGCCGTTCCACCGGACCGAGCAAACAGTCATCGTCTTTAATGTTTGGAATCTGTCGCCGATGCTACCCCCGTATCTAATCAGTCTCCATATGGCGTTCTGGCATGCCGACTATAGCCATGACTATCTCTCATGATATTTGCTAAAAGGAAAAAAAAAGAAAGAGTTGAAAATCATTTGTCCTGGTATTGCCCCCCATCCAACGCCATGGCCAATCTTCTCAGTAAGGATTATCCTCCACATCTAAAAAAGCCCCCCTTTTCTCCGAAACAAGACCGTTACGGCGCCGGGTTCTCGCGAACCACGCGGCGGATACGCTTCTCGTACTCGGCCTTGTCTCTCTTGAAGAGGTTATATGCGTCGGCTTGCGCGGGTGATTCGGGATTGGGGTCGTTGAGGAGATCTTGGATACCCAGAAGAATTTGCTTGACCGTGATGGCCGGCTTCCAGGCCTCTTCCTCGTTGAGAATCGACAGGCAGACGGTGCCCGAGGGATAGACGTTGGGATGGAACAGCGGAGGGACAAATTTGCCTGCAAACCCGGTTAGATGCTGTAGATAGGAGAGATGGGGGGGGGGGGGGGGGGGGGGGGGAATTCCTTCATGTCTTACATTTTGGGGGTTTTGTTGGGTACTCTAAAGAAGCACGACGAACGTCAGTTTCTGCCCAATCCACCTTATCGCGCACGCGAGCACTCACCATCGGGGAACGCAATGTTGATCTTAAACAGGCCTCCCTCCCAGATGGTCTTCTCCTTGCCCGGAATGCCGCACTCCCAGTTCTTCAAGTCGAGCACTCCCTCCTTTGTCCGGGCCGGTTTGGCAAAGAAGCCAAAGGGATGGTCACGTCGCCATTGCTTCCTAACAGTCGTACATCAGTCAGCGCCTTGGGGGTTCCTAGAATACCGATGACCATGAATCTTGAATCACATACCGCTCCTCCTGTAATCTGTTCTGGCAGAGAGCCATGGTGGAATGCTACACCGAGAGATCGACAATCGAGTCGCGAGACCAGGTCGTGACAGCGCCTGGTGGTAAAGGCAAGTTGGCCCCAAAAAAAGTCTGCCGGAGATGGCGAGTTTTGCACGCGCAAAAAAGACAAACGTCTCCCGTTCAACTCTAGTGGTGAAGGAGAGAAAAAAAGACAAAGAGTGTTGCGCGCAGAATGGAGTGATGGAAGACAAAAGAAGCAACTGTCGGATTAAAAATAAAAGCTGCCAAAGCGTAAGGCTGCGGATAGCGCCGCGATCTGCCTAGTGCGTTTCCCACCGAGATGGCCAGGGATGTTCACTGCAGAGATCTCTTCATCAGTTCAAGGTTCCTTGCAGCCAAGCAGAAATGGGCGTTGCAGAGCCTCAATCAAGCTGTGGTGGCGGGGTACCGCATGCCCTTCAGCGACATAGCGACCAACTTACAGGCCATCACAGGCCTAAAGGGGCACACCCTACAGCGGGCAAGCTCACTGAAGCAGACTGCTAGCTGCAACCGTGGGGCACCGTTCTGTTCCCTCGGCTCATCCAGCTTGAGACGGCTGCATGTCACCAAGCACGGGCCGGGCTTGTAACTTTATAGACACGAGCTGTCGGCGCGCAAGGCTACATTATCCATTTCCAAACCCTGTAACAGCCACACCCTTTCTGTTTTGGATACAGTTGGTGTTACCGTCATCCCGGGATTCGATTTTTCTTTGTCTTCTTCTTGCAATTCCCTCCAGGAAGCGAACCGAGCTGCGACCTCTTCCCTGCATTTCCCGGCCCTTGTACACGCTATTACCCCCTCCATTAGCGCCGCAGCTATTTGACCAAACCTCGAGAATACCGAATCTTGCGCCTGTAGCTTCCTGTATCGACGGCATCGATCGTGATAGCGAAGCACCATGAGCTCTCCGTCTGACGCGGCAGATACGGCGAAGCGAGAAGAGACGGGGGCAAAGCAAGAGAATGTCCAGCCAGTGGCACCAGCGGCACCGGCAGCAGCACCACCTGCTGCCACTGTGTCGGACGATCTAGACGACGATGTTCCTGATCCAGACGAAGAAGACCTGGATGATCTCGACGGTACAGTTGCTATTCCTGCTTCCCAAAGCTTTCCAATTGGCTATGGACCTGTATTCTGATTTAAACAATGTCTAGAGCTACTCGACGGCTTCAAGGCTGTCCGGCAGGAGATGATCAACGACAACACGTTAAAGGAGGGAGAAGAGGCTGCTGATCTGGACTACGAGAATATGTCAGAAGAAGAAGTCACCAAGAGGATGCAGGCAGGCATAGCTGGTCTGTTGGCCAACTTGGAGCAATCTGTATGTCGCCTTTTGCCCTCTGCCCGCCGTATACGAGGTACTGACACCGAACTTGTTCCAACAGCCCGAACTACAAGCTCAGTTTGAAGAGATGTTTAAGCAGATGGGCGCCGAGATGGGCGCAGACTTCGAGGCCGATGAGGAAGAGCAGCAAACCAGCAGCAAAGACAAAAGCCCGGCCGTCGCAAGCACCACTGCAGGCACCGCCACGAGCACCACTGCGAGCACCACTGCAGGTGCCTCTACGAGTGCTCCCGCTCCCGCTCCCGCCGCCGCCGCACCGAAGCCTTCTCAGCCAGCTACTGAGGGGCCCAGCGGTGCGGCGTTTCAAGACACGATCCGTCGTACCATGGAGCGCATGCAGTCGTCTGGCGACCAGGCCACCGCGGCAGCGGCGGCGGGTGGCGAGGACGACTTCTTGGCCGAGATGCTCAAGCAGCTTACGGCCGGCGAGTTTGCTGGCGGCAGCGAAGAGGACTTCTCCAAGATGCTCATGGGCATGATGGAGCAGCTGACAAACAAGGAGATTCTGTACGAGCCGATGAAGGAGCTGCATGACAAGTTCCCTGCTTGGCTCGCCAAGAACAAGGACTCGGTTCCTGCCGACGACTTGAAGAGATATATGGAGCAAAAGACGATTGTGGAGGAGATTGTGGCCAAATTCAACGAGCCCACCTACTCGGACTCTAACGCGAAGGACAGGGAATACATCGTGGACAGGATGCAAAGGGTGAGCCTCGACTTCTTCACATCCTTTCTAGAAGCCATGCGCCTAACAAATCTTAGATGCAAGCGGCAGGGTCGCCGCCGTCAGACCTGGTTGGGGATATGGCCTCTGCCCAGGAAGCCTTTAATGGCGCAGAAGACCAGTGCACTCCGCAATAAATTATTGACATGTAGCCGTGGCGCACCCATACTATATACACGCACATTTATACATATACCCATAGTGCGCAATCTAAATGCAAGCACATTTCACCGTATACCGATCCAACGCCAGTGAAAAGACTCTTTCTGAGAGTCCCGAGATGATTACCAAAACTCCATATCGCCAATTGACATGCGTCTTGACCATTCAACGTTACTAGACAAGATGACGCCGACCCAATCAATCGATCAATCAATCAATATCCATCTGACTTGAAGGTTGTGAAGATTGCTGCTGTTGCTGTTGGTGTGAAAACTGTCCCTCTTTTGAGATGAGCTCGGCAAAGATGTCGTCGTACTCATCATTCTCCTCAGCCAGCGTTGGAAGCTGTGACCCTCGATGGGCCAATACCTCCTCTTCGTAAGACGTAAGCATGTGCTCTTCTTCCACGAGTTCCTCCGGGATCGTGTCGTCATCCATCTGCGACTGCTCAGCCTCCTGGGAGAAGGCCATGGCATCCTCGATATCGGCCTCGGAGAACGAGGGCGCGTCATAAGACAGACGGCCAACATTGGCAAGCCAATTTGTCTTCAGAAACTATTGGAATTTGTCAGTGGCCTATCCGCAACATGGCGGTGCTGGTTTTCCTTGAGCTTACTTGGCCCTCAATGTCCCTCCTCTGCCAGGACTTGTCTTCAGCCTTTTGGCGAACATTTTGCAAAAAGTTCCTCCGCCTCTGCTCTTGGGCCTCTTCTCGTCTTCTCATGACGGGGTTTGGCCGCGCAGGACGTGCTTGGTACTTGAAATTGATGGGCCGGATGGGCGAAGACTGGACCTGGCGAGGGTTGCACGGCGCTTGTTCATCGGCCGAGAGAGGCGATGAGGCGCGAACTGGAGATGATGATAGAGGCGACGAGACGGCAGGACGGTTGTCCCAGGAGTGCACTGGCTTTGGGGTGAAGGAGAGCATGTTGCTTTTGCTTGGAGCGGCTTCGTCTGGCGATGCTTGCATGAAGTGAAAGAACGCAGAGTGAGAGTCCAGTCGAGTGTAAACCAAGAGTCTTGGTGTGGTCAAGAGTGTTGAGCCAACGGTGTATTCAATTCAATAAAGTGTTGGTTGGTTTCACAGAGTCGAAATCTCCATTTGTATGTATGATATGATATAGCAGTATAAAGAAATCGATGCTATGAATGTTTCGGCCCCCCATTAATTGGAGGCAACTTCAACACGCCTCGAGACGCGGTACACAGGCGCGCAGTCACGTGTCGCTAATGATGCGCCTCTGGCGTGGTTGCAGGTCCGAGATCAGCAGGGCCGATAATGGACCGGCGAATCAGCGCCCGGCAGCAAAATCTGGTGATGATGTCGTCGAAAGCCGCCAAAATATCCACCGCAAAATCCAAGGGTCTCCCAACAAAAGTCCGTCTCCTATTTTTTCCCTCTCTTCCTCCTTGCTCGGTATTGCGCCATGATAGTCGCCAAAAGCGCCTAAGTTGTTTTCATTTTTTTTATTTCTTCTTTCCTTTGAATTCTCTCCGAAGCGAAAGGCAGGCGCTTTATGTAATACCATTTTCTCTCGTCTTTTTTTTTTTTTTTCGCCACGATACTATAATGCCGAACTGCGGTCGATGACTTTGAAACGAGCCCCCTCGGCACCACAAATGAACGTCTTTTCTAGATCGACCTTTGCGACGGCCCGCATCGGTAACCGAACACAAACATGGACTTGCTCGACTTGTCGCGTTCAATTGGCTCGCACTAAACCGCCCCGACAGTTTATCGCGCGACGATTTGTCTCGGGCCAGTCGTCGTCGTCACATGCAAATGGCGGTGCAAAGTCTGGGCCCAATGCCAGGCTGATTCTGTTCGCATCGACCGGAGCAGCGGCCGGTACGGCGGCGCTGGCCTTTACCGACGAGATCAAGAACAGCTACGAGGCCGCAGAGAGGACTGGCAGAGTCGTTGCTGCGCTGGCGGTCTGCATTAATGAGTGAGTGGCGCATTCGCTCTGTCTCGAAGCAAGGGAGGAGACACGTTGCGGCTAGTCGATGGTGAGCTAACTTGGGCTGGATAGTTACCGGACGACTCTAAACACAAAGGCCATGATTGATGACAAGGAACGGCAAGATGAGATACTCAAAGCATGTCACAAGCGATGCGCCGAGCGAACCCTCAAGGTGTTGGAGAAGAATGGCGGCATATTTATCAAGCTCGGACAGCACCTGGTAAGAAGACAACCCCAACCACGCTTGTAAACATCCAATCGGACAAGGAATGACTAACAAGCCGGCGACAGAGTGCCATGAACTACCTTTTACCTCCTGAGTGGACGACAACGTTTATACCCTTGCAAGACAAATGCCCCGTCTCTTCTTTTGCGTCCATCCAGGATATGTTCCGGAAGGATACCAACGAAGATCTCTGGGACTACTTTTCTGAATTCTCCGAAGAGCCAATTGGCGCCGCCTCACTTGCGCAAGTACACCTAGCAACCTTGAAAGACACCGGGCGCAAAGTGGCCGTCAAGGTTCAGCACCCTGAATTAGAAGCTTGGGCACCTCTCGATCTCGCTCTTACTAGATACACCTTCTCGACGCTCAAGCGATTCTTCCCCGAATATGACCTCGAGTGGCTATCGTCAGAAATGGATGTGTCTCTGCCCAAGGAGCTCGACTTCAGGGAGGAGGCCGAAAATGCCCGTCGCATGAAGGCGCATTTCGCCAAACTCCCCATGCTACCTCTTGTCATTCCCGAGGTCATGTGGGCGAAGAAGCGCATCCTTGTCATGGCTTGCGAATCCGGCCGGCGACCAGATGATCTCGAATACTTGGACAAGAACGGCATTGATCGTGATGAGGTGTCAGCAACGCTGGCACGCATCTTCAACGAGATGATTTTCGGCGACGGGGCTCCTCTGCACTGCGATCCTCACGGTGGCAACCTCGCCATCCGCAAAAACACCACCCGCCGCGGTCTTGGCCGTGGTCCCAACTTTGACATTATCCTCTACGACCACGGCCTGTATCGCGACATTCCTCTTCCCCTTAGGCGCTCTTACGCCAAGATGTGGCTCGCCGTGATTGATGGAGACATGGACCGGATGAAGAAGTACGCCCACGAGGTGGCCGGCATCAGCGAAGAAGATTTCCCCCTCTTCGCCTCCGCCATCACGGGCCGCGACTTTAGCATCGTCAGCAAAGAAGGGTCCATCCTCAAGACCCGAAGCGCAGACGAAGAGCAGAACATGAGCGGTGCCCTGCAGGAAGGACTCATCGTCGACCTTGTCCAGATGCTCGGTCGAGTCCCCCGTATCATTCTTCTCATCCTCAAGACGAACGACTTGACGCGCAGCCTGGATGAAAACCTGCACACCAGCCAGGGCCCCATTCGCACTTTTATGATCCTCGCGCGGTACTGCACCCGGACTGTCTTCCACGAGCAGCTCGAGGACATTGTCCGCAGCGGATCGATGCTTTGGCCCCCGAACGTGATGCGTGCTTTGACCGCCTGGATCGGCTTCGTCAGGGTAGAGCTCAAGCTGGAGGCGTTTGAGCTGTGGCTGGGAATCAAGAGGATGCTGGGTCTGAGGGGCGTAGAATTTGGCGGCGGGCCGCTGAGACAGGAGCAGTAGAATTAATTGCTCTCTCTATAATTATTTCTTAGAAGGGCAAACAAAAGAAGGCGGCATTGTGGGGGAATATAGAATTTGATAGAATGGGCAGCTCATGTATACTACACCAAAATGGAGGGAGCGGAGGCAGAGGGAGTGAGATGATGGGCATATGTTGTTTTGGCACGATTTTATGAGATATATGCTAGACGCCGTGTCACTGGTAATTCAAAAGTTTTTTCTTTCTGTTTATCTTTGTTGTAAAGGGATATCTACAGTGAACGCGATTTGTATGTCGCCAAGTTAGCTAGATTAATGATAGTGAGGATCAACTGTTTTTAAGTTTATTGACAACGTGATACCCTTACCAACTTACGTGCATCTAAAAACCTTCTCCCAACATTTACAGAGAGCAAATTACAACTTCAGCAGCTGAACGGAAATACTTGATTGAACCCAGTAGCTTTAACACCTGAGTCATCGTCTTACAACCGCCGCATTGCTGCCTGCTCTCAACGTGAATCTGAACAGGCTAAAGAAACCAACCATTATCCAACCCGCAGAGAACGAATCGCCTCCCAATGTTGATTCTTTCTCTCCTCCACACAAACTGAGACACATCAAACACCCAAACGCCAGTATGGCATCACGCCGCTCAATACTGGTATCCGATTCCGCCATGGAGGAGGATGACCCCATCCCCACGTATCGCATCGACCTCTCCCTCCCTCCAGCCGAGCGTTACGTCAAGCTAGCCTCGGATTTCGCGCCGCGAATGAAACAAATCACGCCGTTATTCGACACAGTCCTCGAATCAGTATTACCATGGTCATTTCTACGCTCTATTGTGAAGTTTGCGGCGTTGCTCATTCTTCGGCGGGTGTATTCGTCTGAAGAGACGCAGGAGTTGGTGGGCATTTCGAAAGCTAGTGGAGTGGATATGCATTTTCTGGTTGCTTTTAATTTGCTGCTTGATATTCTGTTGGGATGCACGAGCGGTGGTGTTTTGACTAGAATAAAGAAGGGGAAGGGGGGAGAGACATATCTTGGAGAGAAAACTGATACGGAGCCGAGGGCGAGGATGATGCATTTTCGAACTTTGGATTGGGGGATGCCTGAATTGAGGAACGCACTTGTTGTGCTGGAGTTTGTGAGGTCAAAGTCTGAGGAGCCTGAGACGGTGATTGCGAGGACGGTCACTTATGCTGGGTTTGTCGGCGTGTTGACCGGCGTGAGGTAGGTCATCATAGGGAACTTTGATGCAGTTACAAGCTTACAATCTTCCAGGCAGAACCTTTCAATGTCACTCAACTTCCGACCAACTCACAACTGCTCCGCATTATCCTTTCGTATGCACCAGAGCCTCGTGCTCCTCGGTGTCCAACCATCAATATCATCAGTCCTCC